TTATTTTCAGATTTTCTCAATTTTTGCATGATATTTTCATACAGGACATCTGTTGTTCAAACTCAGGGAAGACTTTATACTGATGAATAAGGTGACCAAGTTTGATAAAGTTTGGAATAGAATTAGTAAAGTTATTATGCAAACAATAACAATTATTAACGACGACGACGCCGACGACGACGACGACAACGACAACGCCGGACAAAATTTTTCCCTTAATATACCTTTCCCTTCCATCTTTGATGGTACGGGCAAGGTAAAAACAACTTAGTGGGATTAAATGAGATTAAGATTGCGGGAACATAATTTAATTTGTTGGGACGAATTAATGGTATTTTTGTTTCCCCATTGACATAATTCATACCTTTATGCCAGCAGAGCTGCTAGTACTTACCCTTCTTCCCTGTTTGCCCGGTAACCCCTGTGGTCCTGGAGTTCCCGGTGGGCCGGATGGGCCCATGTCACCTTCATCTCCCTTGGGGCCAAGAGTTCCTGGATAACCCTGAAAATCAGAAGTTACCACCGGTCACGAATGATCAAACAGTCATATAACAATTCCATGCATGGTTAGTTAAATTTATTACAAACAAATAGTCAAATCCCGGCGTACCGCAATCGTCATGAAATTTAAAGCGCGGTGGTCGTAGCGCAGCGCGTGTTCGAATTTCATGTAAATGAACAATGTATTTTACACGCGTTGTACACGTCGCTATGAGTTCCATATCGAACAGAACGTGGAACAACGACTGCCGCTCTTTTACTGAGCTGCGCACAAAAACGTAGACGACACATTGCAAAGTAAATTTTCTTCTAATTTGTTTTAGACGTTTCATACCATTATATTTTTGGTCTTATTCCACAATTCTGGATACTCATAAAATTACAAGATCTTCCTTGTTTGAGGCATGGTAATGTTAAGTATCTGCGGTCACATGATAAACACAATTTGGGTATTGGTAATATACTAGTGTTTACTTACCGGGGGTCCAATTTTACCAGTTAAACCAATCGGACCAGATGGGCCAATTAGAGCGTTCTGAAACAAACATAGGAAAGAAAATAATAAGTTAATAAATAATTTTAGTAAACAGTTATGAAGAAGCTACTAGTATTAAAATGTCCATTCATATATATATATTGATCTATATATTGGAAAATTTCTATAGTTACAAAGAGTAGGTACTTTGAATGTGCTTTCAAATTCTGGTCTTATTGAATAGTTGTGCATGGCACAGCATGTATAACGACAAAAAACTTGTAAAACATGTGTTAACACAAAATTCCAGTCAGTCATGTCAACAATTAAGTGCAATGATTTTGCTTGTATGTATATTTTCCTCATGGCTATTCGTTTCAAATGAACTTTGCGTGCAAGTTATTACCTCCTTCACAAGCGATGCATTTTATTGAAATCTACATCCGGGTCATTGGGACGACAGACCAATCAACATACAGCATACTCACCCTTTGCGTCTGCAATAAATTAGTGAAAGCAGCCATTGCTCCGCTATTGGGTCCTTTGTGATCGCTCCCATCTGAGATGGCACTCTAAATAAATACATAGACGTAGAGGAAGGGGAGTTAAGATCAAATTACGACGCAAGTAATTTGTCAGAAACGAAAAGTAATTAGGCTTGAGCAAAGTAAGTACTCACGGGTATAAGTATAACAGGTCCAGGTGCGCCTGGGAAACCCCTCTCCCCATTGAAGCCATCACGACCTTCGTCACCCTGAGAATAGAAGCAATTATAAAGAAAACTCAATACAATACACGGGGTAGAGCGGAATTCATAAATCGGATACATATACTTACAGACCTTCTCTTTCTAAGGTCTATGATTTAATAGGCGTCAAACATATGAATTGCTATTCTGTCTACGCCGGAAAAGGGAATCGGAATACAGTTGTACATTGGTTTCGTCTTACATCACATATAACTGTGCTGAAAGCTGAAATTTATAATGGTGAAAAATAATTACGCTAAAAAATATCAGATAGCTCTTAAAACTATACTGCCTCATATACTTGTCCGAATGCCTTCGATACTAATGTATATACCACATGTAGTATGGTATAGTATTCACATATCGCTTACTGAATGGCGTGCGATGTGTTCTGGGGATAATATTATAACACCAACATTTAGTGTGAATTATCTGCTATCAAGACTGCTCTGTGATGGTCCTACTTTTGTGCTATCTGCACGGTCTTCAATCTCATCCATTAGGGCGTGACACAGGTCCGTTGATTTGTTCGTGTACCTCGTCAAAGTTACTCCATACTGTACCAACTATGAAGGTCAATAAACTCTAGCATACACCATACATCATAATGATCCAAATAAAAAGAAATGTTTTCTTACTTTTGCACCTTTTTCTCCCTGTGGACCAGGCGGGCCATCGTATCCCATCGGACCTTCGGGACCCTGTATAGAGACAACGTTCAGAACATGTTAACAACACTCGCAGGTTCACTCCTCGGGAACTTAATACCTTACATTTCATATATGATACAGACACCAGTCTAGAACATTACGTTATACATTTTTTGTAGCACACTTTTGTATTTGTTAATAAACCTTCACTATAAATCGCGCCCTCAAAACCGACAAGACGCTTCTAAAAATAAACGGGTGATACAAAGGCCGTTCAAGTCATAGTCGTCCAACAACGAAGGTCAAGTTTTTTTGAACAATTTACTATAATCTGCAAGACGAATCACTTCGCAACACAATACAGTTGTCAATCTGAACGATATTGCTTTCATCCATACACGTCATTCTGACGTCACATAAGCGGTTCGCCACTAGAGGGCTTGATTTATAACACCCAATATTTTTTAAGGTTCGAAATAAAAAAAATCACAAAATATGTTCCTGTCCGTAGAAAGATATTATATTATTATATCATATTTACCTGTGGTCCTTGTGGGCCCGGCGGTCCTGGTATGAACACACCCTATGGGAAGAAGGACATACTTTGCTTTAATTTATAAAATTGTAAGACATCAACGCAAGGATACAAGGTGACATTGACATTATTTGTGTTTGCCTTGCAGGTTGTCCCTGTCTGTTACAGCGGAATATCACATCAATTACGTGTAATCTAGGAACGCGTGGCGTACACATGTTATCAATAATGGATTCGAGTGCTGTTATTTACCGCCATGTCCCATTCCAGTAGCAGCGCTGTCTAATTTCACGCGCTTCTTGCGAACAAGTGTGCAAGGCATCAACCATAGTCGAAGCAGACACAACAAACAATGCAACGAACTACATACGTGAAACAATCACACTGTTCTGACGTTGATCGTATCATTATACTGTGTCAACATATGAATATGAATTGTAATAACTTATATCTACAAATATCCTGCTGAAGTAAAATAACCCAGTCGGTTTATAGCTCATGCATATTCAAGTTCATCAACCCTGTGATATTGATATCGTATTTTTATTCTACATTTTAGTTTGTCGTTTTATATTAACCGCCTGTTCGCCAAATTTAACTGTTATCAACTGTGATCAAATATAGATTTTTGTATTGTTTTTCTAAAATATTGACCACAGTCTGTAGCCATTGGGTAATTACGTCAGACTGCTCCAATAAATGAAAACAATACAACACATACACAATGTATACAAATATTGGTGGCAAAAATTATGGTATTCAATTCAGTAACGTGATTTAAATCGAGGAATTGTTCCAATGAGTTTTTGCGTGTTTAGCATGTGTTGTTATCGTGGCTTGGGACTCAATTCTCGCGCATGCGCAAGTGACCCCCCCCGCTTTAACATCGACGCACGTAACTAAAATATATTCAATCGTGGCGATGAAAAGACAATCAAATGCAGGAATGCAGTGTACTTGGGGGTGATTAACTGTGAGCGATGGGTGGCCACACTTTACTGGAACTGCTGTGGTACCTGATACTGGAACTGTATCATAAATTTTTAGGATTAACCTCTGACCTTGTTACGTGTTTCTGAATATTCGTCAGAGGACGTGCTGAACAGTGCTTAATAATTCCCGTATGTGCAATTAAATGCGCAACAGAAGAAAATGATTTTCATGTTCTGATTATTTTCTGCTAGGTCGACAGTTGATAATGAAGGGCAACGTGACTCTGATAGTCTTAGATAGGTACCACGTATCGGCGCTAGGCCGGCCGCATGCCGGGGTGTGACCTGGGAAGTTGTATACGTCACTTTTTAATATGTGTGTAGAACTCGTACGTGGTCTGGTTCCAATAATGGTGTGGTGATGAGACACTATGTGATGTCAATTATTCGGGACTCTGTAACCCCTGGTTCGGTGCTTTGTTTCGTTTGTTTAATATTTTTTTTTGGTGTAACACTAATTCCTGACATGTGGCAAATGCTCACGTTTTTTTGTTTCGACTTTGATAAAGCAAACATCACTACACTTTCTTACACCGATATTGTAGTAGGGTGTGGTGGAGGGCTAATATGATAGAGTTCGTAGGTGAATGGTCGCGTCGGAATAATGTGTCGTCAGAACACGTTTTAGGCTAGAACTCACGTGGATATTTGGGTATGAGTAGTTATCCCGTGACAAAAATAAACCGATACATGCAAGATAAAAATGCAAAGCAGGAAGTATCTCAACGTCACTTACCGGTTCGAGAACCGCGGGTTCACCTTTCTGTCCTTTTTGTCCCTGACAAAATAAATATTTAATTACAAAAAAATAAAAAACGTCATAAACTTGTTCGATATTTCATCACTCTAACGTTTTTTCTTTTTTTATATGTTTAATATTATAAAAACTCTTACTTGTCCGCCAGTACCAGGCACATAAGGTGGCTGAAATAGACAAACGACAGAAATAAAACATTAGTAAAATTATTTCTCAATATAAACCCGAATTTAAAGTTCTTGAATATATTTATGATGTCAGGGGTACTATTTCTTACCAAGAAATGTGTACAAACTTACGAAATCTGTTATGAATCCTCCGTCCGGTGTTGATCCGGCCTCTTCATTCTGTGGATATTCGGGCAATGGTGTGTTGCAGTCTGGTGTATACAGTGTACAATAGTCATAAGCATCGTATGGACTACGTGTAACTATCAGCTGTTGTATATCTCCCTGTAAATCAATCAATCAATCAATCAATCAATCAGCTACCAGCGTACGAAAAACAAAAATACAGATAAATAAATATATATATATATATATTCCATCATGTCACTCACGTTAAAAATGGTTGGTTTTCGTAGGTTCCTCCCGATGACCACAATGCCGTCTGTGTCTATCTTTGAAAATGGGTCACGTCCGAGTGTTTGTGTGTAGTTATTCTTGCAATCTGACAGCATCGTTATCATGTCACCACGAACACTGAAAGCTATCCTATGCCAACTATAGAAACAAAAGATAACAAAATGCAATTTTGTTTAGAACTGCTTGAATAATAATTGATAATTGACCAGAAAAAATAAACCGAGAACCAATAATCAGGCATTTCCTGTTATATATGCAAATGAGTATATCATACGCATATATTTGCATAGCAGTTTGATCCTTCAGAAAAAGCATCCAACTTAGAATTCAGGTCTATTCATTTAAGACAACTCATCTACATATAATTAGTTCATTCGAACACAGAGGGCATAAAGGCAGATTACGATAACGCGGCAGGAGTTTTATCCCGATAATAGAAAGTTCGATGCAAGAAATATTTTCTACGCGATATGTTACAATATCTGACACATGGAGCGCAACTAATCAATTCACATTGGATTTTGTTATGCGACTGCCAATGGATGGGCACTATGTCGACTTGTGTTCAAAACTGCGAAATATTCATTACTCGTACTTTCTTTTTAAAAAAATGGCTTGGAAATATTTAATGGGTATTAATCAAGAGTGAACATTAGGGTGTGTGTTACAATACTTTAATATATTTTGGGGGAAGTGATTACGACAATTTCAATTTTTTTAAAAGTTAAACTTAAACTATCTTGGTAGCACACTGAGCAGGAATATTTTTCTATTTATTCCCCAACATCATTCATATTTTATTCAAGTATTTATTTTATCTGACTGTGTTGTTAAACAATTCTAGGAATCTATATTAGCCAATGTTTTATTCAACTGTAACATACGGACAACTACACATTGGAACGTATGTACCCTTCCTTATCCATGTATTCAACACAACGAGAGAGAGAGAGTGAAGTAATGCTGAGACAGATCGGTCATTGAGGTCGCGTCAGACACCGATACCGCTAACATTCCAACACATATCGAAGTTGTGTGTTGAGAAGTTTTGATAAATTATTATTTTCTGTAACTCACACGTAACTAATAGTCTAGTACTTAAATTCTCTTCGCATTTTGTCGGCAACAAGGTTACCTGCCTTTTCAATGTTGGATTCATGTTTGATGACGTATTCTGACACTAACACGTGACAATAACGTAATAACATATGACACCAAAAACCTCAAATAAGGTAAGCCAATCCTAATGTCAATTTTACGGTCACGTCACAATTGAAAACAAATTGGACATATAGGTATCACACTACTATTAAAATTCGCATAGACGCCAATTTCAAAATATGCCTATTTAACATATAGTCCCCAACATTAACATTAACAAAAAGTAATATTAAAAACAATGTTTTGTCTAGTTTTTAAAAATAAAATTGTACATATTATCATTATAGTATTGAAGGTCCCCCAAAACAAGGCCGTTTCAATTACACTGGTTCCGTCCGTATTAGAAAAAATACCCAACTGTTTACTCACTTCAAATGAATCAGTCAACCAATTCAAAACTAGTCCCATAACAAAGGCTTGCTATTTTTGTATCATATTAAATATAAACCTCATGGAAAAAAGTGTTTCCATAATAAGAGGAAATACGTTCGTGTTGATAATTCTAATTGTGTGGTGAAACCTATAAATTACGATACTACCGAATGTTCGTAATTATTCATTTGCATATGTTTTGCATATCTAATTATGCACGCCATCTCAGTCGTGTCACCCCATGCACACGGTATGATATATATACTTTATACAAAAATTACTAGTCATAACAGATCTAACTAATTCAGACCCACATCAGAACAATTTTTGTGATATTTATAAAGAGAAGCTCAAATGTTTGTACCGTATGAAGTGGAAAAACAATTTGTTGAACAATTGTAAGCTTGACTTTTACAGGTGTGCTAAAGAAAATTTTGAATTTGAACATTATTTGGAAAAAATTAAAAATAAAAATCATAGAATAGCTTATACTAAATTTAGAACTTCTGCACATTTTCTTCCCATTGAATCCGGTAGACATAAAGGCATTTTGAATGAAAACAGGCTATGTAATCTCCATGAATGCAATAAAGTAGGGGATGAGAAACATTACATTTTATATTGTAATAATTGTCAAATCAAAGAACAAAGATCTAGATTCCTTGCAGCTTTATACATCTATGCCCCAAAGCTGGAAGATTTTAGCATGGATGAATTATTTCCTATTATTGTTTCAAGTAATGATTTTTTCATTCTTAGCATTTTTGCAAAATTTATTTTCTATATTCTTGATATGTTTTAATACTGAAAGTTTTTGTTGTTCTGAATGTTTTGTTTTGTTATTGTTATTTTTGGACTTTACTCAAGTTTTCATTGGTACGTTCCAAATAAAAAATTCTATCTATCTATCTATCTATCTATATCAGTGTAACAGTTAAAATTCTTTCAAATTATTATGCAAATTAGGCAACTACACACGGTTTTTATTTGGAGTGTCCGTTTTTCAAATAATGTGTTTTATACACGATAAGCTAAAACACTGAAAATTACTAGTACACTGTCATACTATGGGGAACACGAATCCGAACCCCAAGCTTCGTGTGTTTGTAAATATGGGACAATGCATTTAAGTATGTCCACATAACCGTGTAGACCAACTTACTAGTAAATAAGCAAGGCAACGTATAAAGGAAATGATATTGTTGTTTTGGAAGTATATTTGACTGATCTATCAGCAAAACCAGGGGGGAAAAAAAGTCGTTATATCATGTGCATAACATTTTCTTTTGAATAAGTAGCTTTCTTTATTCATTGGCAAGTTGATCTTCAAGGTTATTCAGGGCAAACTTAAATACAACATGCCATATTTATATTTACTTACGACATGGAATTAGGATTCACTGCTCCACGGTTTAACGTAATCTCTCCGGTGTATATTGATTTATCACAACCATATTAGTTGCAAAACAGCCGCTCAAAGTCAACGCCAGCCTGGTCAGCTATTCTCGGGAAGGGGAGCTACGGGACGTCCCTTGTTGCTTGGACGTGCATCACTGTAGCGTGCATTTCCATGGGCTGATGTGCGAGCTGGCGTGGTACACCGGTCAACACACACTCAATCTTGAGGTAATGCTGAACAATCAAATCGATATACTATGTTGCAAATGCAGGGGTGGTCGCGTTACACTGTTCAGGAGAGTCTCGACAACTGACTAGATCAAAGTGTAGTTTTCTTAAAGTTTTGAAATTAATGAATGTGAATATATTCTAACCATACAGTAATTATGTCTGCTCATATTTCATTGATAAAATCTGAGTTGTCTTCTTTTCAATTGCTTAATTAATGATCAGATCTTTAATTTTCTATTTTGGCTGAAAAAGCTAAAATGTTCGATACATTCGTTAATCACGTGACCATTTTCTTTTGAAGGAGTTTGGGCGTTTCCTTTTTCTCGTAAATGTTCATTTCACAGCTTTTTAAAATGTCAATGGGTTTTATTTAATTTACAAACAACTGACTAATTTCAAATAAAATTATCTGACAAATTATTATTATTATTATTATTATTATTATTATTATTATTATTATTATTATTATTATTATTAATCAAAACACATTTTCCACGCCCACTTACCTAACGGCCAACCCTTCTATCTTAGATCCAATACAGGCAACGAGCGCCCCCAACGTTTGTAAATCATCTAAAAGGTAATTTTTCATTCGTTTGATTAATTGGCCGAATTGTTAACGTCACTCCGCAATTCAGCCCGCATGTTCACGGCTTTTAACTGGTTCCAACATTCAGAAAATAATTTCATTTTAGATGGCATTCCATAACTGACCTCTGCGAACGCTGCCAACATTAATCAACTCAAGACTTGACATACTGAAGAAACCGATTTTACCAGAGATGAAATCCATGATGCGGTCTAGCAATGCGGGTGTTCTGTCTGTCACCGCAGTTGAGCCACGAGACGTGCGGCGATCGTTTACTAACAGGCCGCTCAATTTTGGAAGTAATCGTATTACATCGTTTGTCTAGATAGCCACGTAAGACATACCGTGAGTGCTGAAATTTGACATCAAATATCATCACCAGTACGTACGTGCGTGTGTGTACTATAAAACGTAAAACTATATGAATAAAATCTTTTACATCAACATATACTGTTATGCCAGCGTCTAATAGATTTTTACATATTTGTTGCCATAGCAACACTATTCTAGGAGAGCGTCCTCACCGGCAATTATGCCAAGTTTTATAATTTCGTTTTTTTTTAAAGCACGAAAATCGTCACGCAGTTTGGGTTTATAATTTGTGTAAACAATAGTTTACACGTGTTGTACACGTGACACGAACCAACATCGAAGAAGACACGACCCGACGATGGCGGCGCTTTAAACTAGGGCAGAGTATTTTCAAATATTATTCAGACCGTTAGAATTTGTTTGCAAGAAGTTAGAAGGGTGACATTTTACGAGAATTGAATCGTGTTGTGTCGACTATATACATTTTAAAAGGAGAGCAAATAGTGGTAAATTGTCTGCTAAAATACCCGGGATAGGGAAAATATAGGTTATAACAGATGGTACTCAGAATTATCTGACCGAGTGCTGAGTGGTCAAATGTCCAAGAGATGTGACCACTCTTGAAACTAAAATTTATTATGTAGTTTTCAAAAAGTGGAGCCTGTACATTTCAGCCAAGTGTGCTGTTTGTTCTGTAATGATCACATTAATGAGCTTCCAGCGTCCGTCCATTCACATAAAAGTCGAAAGCACGTCAGAAGTCAACGTATATAATCTACGACAAAAGGAAGCAATACAATCCATTTTATAGAAAGCACATATAATTAATCACACGATCAATGTCCAAAGCGTCTGATTATTTATGGTTTAAACGCCGTTAATATGTGTGGCCGTGATAATAACATGTTTATTTGGGTAGATCGTAAAGAAGGAGAGAAATGAGTAAATCACATGTTAATGACCAAGTTGATGCGTTAAATGAGACAATCGTTAGACAGTTTATACAGAACCATCTATATAAATCGCCTAGGATTTTGTTGATGAGTGACACAGAACCACTATATCACGCAAAGTG